CAGCTTTTTTTGTGGAGGGATCTTGCTGTTTTGCCTAGGCTGCCCTTGAACTGTGATCCTCTCAATCTCTGTCTCTTGAATAGCTACAATTATAGGCCTGAGCCACCACATGACAGCATCTCTTAACTTTTGTGACTTGAAGGCTTAGTTATAGAATCTTTCATTTCCACTCTTAAAAACATACCTAAATTTTCAAGTGATTAGGCTTTTAGACTCCCAAAAGAAGGGTTATTTTATTTTATTTTTGTTGGTTGTAGGGCTTGAACTCAGAGCCTGGACGCTATCCCTCAGCTCTTCAGCTCAAGGCAAGCTCTCTACCACTTGAGCCACAGCGCCACTTCTGGGTTTCTGGTGGTTTATTGGAGATATGAGTCTCACAGACTTTTTCTGCCCAGGCTGGCTTTGAACAGCAATCTTCAGATCTCAGCCTCCTGAGTAGCTAGGATTACAGGTGTGAGCCACTGGTACCCCGCAAAAAGGATTGTGTGTGTGTGTGTGTGTGTGTGGGTGCTGGGGATTGAACGTAGGGCCTTACATACTACTAAACATTCTATCATCTTCAGCCCTGAGGTTTTGCCTTTTATGTTTACTAATGCAAAACTGCTACTTTTGCATGCAAGAGAAGTAATACCTCTTTATTATACTTCATACAAATTCTCAAAAATACCAAACTGTCCAATTTGATATTTTTCCTCAATGTTTTCCAACTTCAATTGTATATCTATCCTAAAATCAGACTACTACTAGAAATTTCCTAGAGTGACATTTCACGCAGGAGAAAGGCATTTTTCCTATGTCTAAGTTAGTGGAGTCTGTTTGATTCTAGTGTTTTCTGAACACCAACCTCTGTATCTCAACTTCTTATATCAGATTATACTGCATGCTCACTTCATTCTTCTTTCTAGTCAAACTAGAAAATCATTTCAGTGAAAGGAGATCTTGTTAACATTTACTGGTTAAGCTAATAAATTCCACTCATGGTTAGCTTGCCAAACACTGTTGATTACTTTATTGCAGGTCAGACTTGATAACTGTCCTTAGTTGCTCCCAAAATGAAGTGGATGCTAAGTTATTATTGGTCAAAGTTTTGTTGTCATAGTAATTTAGGGATACTATGAGAGTCCTCTATAAATCCACTCTTCTCTGAAAACAAGTGCCTTTCTGATTGTAGAGCTTGAAAAATGCACCCAAATCTATGAGGTACACTGCAGCCACATTTGAAGAGGACATTTTCCAACAGCTGACTCTAGAAAATACTTGGGGTGCCTTTTTTTGTTTTGGTTGCTCGGGGGGCTTGAACTTTAGGCTTGAGCGCTGTCCCTGCACTCTTCAGCTCAAAGCTAGTACTCTCCTGCTTGAGCCACAGCGCCACTTCCCGTTTTCTAGTGGTTTATTGGAGATAAGAGTCTCTCGGAAGGCTGGGAAGGTGGCTCAGTGGTAGAATGCTTGACTTGCATGCATGAGGCCCTGGGTTCGATTCCTTGGCACTATATAAGCAAAAAGAAAAAAGCCAGAAGTGGCGCTGTGGCTCAAGTGGTAGAGCACTAGCCTTGAGCTGAAGAGCCGAGGGGCAGTGCCCAGGCCTAGAGTTCAGGACCCATCACTGGACCCCCCCCCCAAAAAAAAGAGTCTCTCAGAGGTTCCTGCCCGGGCTGGCTTTGAACTATGATCCTCAGATCTCAGCCTCCTGAGTAGCTAAGATTACAGGCGTGAGCCACCGGTGCCCTGCTTTTGGGGTGACTTTTAAAATGTACTACCACTTCCTATCTAGTGTGGCAGAGGGTGACTCCTCCTTCCACCTTACCTTGATTTTGGCAGCTTGGTCCTACTTCCACCTGGACCAATACTAAAGCAACAGTGCTTTCGATCATTAACCTTTCCTGACAGAACTTGATTGACAGTACTGATTTTCCCCATAGATTACACAGTTTCTGATAATGCTTCAATATATCTTCTTGTTGTTGTTGTTGGTCATGGGGTCGGAACTCTGGGCCTGGGCGCTGTCCCTCAGCTCTTCATCTCAAGGCTAGCACTCTACCACTTGAGCCACAGCACCACTTCCGGCTTTTTCTGCTTATGTGGTGCTGAGGAATCGAACCCAGGGCCTCATGCATGCAAGACAAGCACTCTACCACTGGGCCACCTTCCCAGTCCCTTCAATGTATCTCTTGAGGTACCTATATAAAATAATTCCACATATATCAGAAAAGTAAAAAGAAATGCAGTCACTATATCCATCATTACAGTATCACATTGACTTATCAATCTAAGACAAAGCTTTCTTTCTTTTTTTTTTTTTGTCCTGCTATCGCTACGCTCTTCAGCTCAAGGTGAGCCCTCTACCACTTGAGCCACAGTGCCACTTCCGGTTTTCTAGTGGTTTATCAGACTTAAGAGTCTCATGAACTTCCTGCCTGGGCTGGCTTTGAACTGTGTTCCTCAGACTTCAGCCTCCTGAGTAGCTAGGATTATAGGCATGAGCCATTGGTGCCAGCCGAGACAAAGCTTTCTTAAACTTGATTTGACCTATTAACAAATTTTTAGTATAGCTTACTACTCTGAGGAAGAAAACATGCTGTAAATATTCACTGAATATTAGTTTTTTCAAGCTACGCACAGTAGCCTATAATCATCGGTATTCAAGAGGCTGAGATTTGAGGATTGAGGTGCAAAGATAGCCAAGCAGATTAAGTCCAAGAGACTATATATTTCAATTACCCAGGGAAAAAAAAAAAGAGAAGTAAGTAGGGATGTGGCTCAAGTGGTAGAGGGCCAGCCTTGAGCAAAAATGCCAAGCAAAAGAGTCCTCAAGTTCAAGCCCTAGTACACACACACACACACACACACACACACACACACACACACACACACACAAATTAAACTACCAACAAACTGACTTTGATTAGTAGAATCAGGAAGTAAAAAAACCATTTCTGTGGTATTGGTGTTTGAATTCAAGGTCTCACGTGTCTAGTCAGGCACTCTACCACTGGAGTCCTGACTCCAGTCCTTAGATTTAGGGACTTTTTTTTTCCAAAAAAAAAAGTCACATTTCTCTCCCACAGATTGCAAATTTTTAAGCTATTATTTGAGGTGTGGGCTTTATTCTTTTCTTTTCTTGCCAGACCTGGGACTTGAACTCAGGGCATGGGCACTGTCCCTAAGCTTCTTTTGCTCAAGGCTAGTGCTTTACCACTTGAGCCACCACACCACTTCCAGCTTTTTCTGTGTATGTGGTACTGAGGAGTTGAACCTAGGGCTTCATACATGCTAGGCAAGCACTCTACCACTAAGCCACATTCCCAGCCCATAGGCTTTAGTCTTTCACTACTGATTTCTAAAATTACTATTAAAATCATATATCTGAATTTTCTTTTTCTTCCTTTCCAAATTTTTGAGACAGGACCTTGCTACGTAGCTCAGGCTCACCTTAGCCTTCTAAGTACTGGAATTACAGGCATGCAATACCAGCTGGAATTTTCTTTGTAAATAACAAGTTAATAATAGATTAAAGCAAGATCAATCATCGCATAGAAACAGTGGGACAATCAGGTAAGCAATGAACACTTTATAACAATCTTCATCTGTAAAATGGGCACTTTCCAACCAGAACTACCTGGCAGAAATTTTCATCATTGGCCTAAACAGATTGTCTAAGTTCCCAGCCTGAAGGCAGTAATATTTTTAGGTTGTCAAAAATGAATATCTGAAACCCTTTTTGTTCTCTGATGTAGCTTCTCAGAAGGAATCTAGCCATGCTTAGGATACATTGTATACATGTGTGAAGATACCAAAAACAAACCTCCTCACCTTGTACAACTGATTATGCTAATTAAAAAATTAAAGTCTGGGGCTCATGCCTGTAATTCTAGCTACTCAGCAAGCTGAAGATTGAGGTTCAAAGACTACCTGGACAGGAAAGTCTGTCCACCACCAAAAAAGCCAGAAGTAGAGCTCAAGTGATAGAGCACCAGCCTTGTGAGATAAAGCTAAGGGATAGTGCCCATGACCCTGAGTTCAAGCTTCAATACCAGCACATATGTGTGCACCTATGCATGTATACACACACACTATTCCCTTCACCTGAAGGATCATACACAAGAATCTTCCTCTGGAGGCCTGAATACACTATAAATCACTAGGCCATGACAAGGCTATGCCTTAAGCATGACACTGTGAGAACAATGAACATAAATACAATGGTTTGTAAATTTCTGGGTGTCAATCCTATGCAGTTTTTAACTTTTCAATTCCCGTCCTGTTTTATAAATTGTGTTCCAATTTGGAACATAAACTTTTCATCCTATCATTCACAAACCCTCATGTCCCCACCTTCTTTTCCCTCTCCATTCAAATGTGATAAGCCGTGAATAGGAAGCCTTTATTTCACCTTTTGTCTCCATAAGTCCATCTGCTTCTTCCTTGAGCTTTAAAGGTAGGCCAGGGCCACGGACGACGTGGCCAAAGGGCATTCGGGACTGGCAGAGACAACCTAACCCTTCTGGGATGTCCCTTCTTCAACTTGTCACTTTAACACCTGTTCCTTAAATAAATATTTACCCTCTGAAAGTCCTATCTCATTCTGAAAGAGGATGGACCAGCTAGCCCATGAGCCCTTTGTCTCGGGCTTCCACCCCTCACATCCTCGTTCACAAAGGGCCCTTCCTCACACAGGTAGGAGGGTCTGCTGGGCCCAGGACGGCGGAGCCTAGGTTTCCGCATCTGTATTACAGACGGGATGAGCTTCTGTTCAAGGACCTCCAAGATCCCAAATTCCATAAGCAAACGCAGTGTATCTACTTCTGGGCTGGGGAGAACGATTCCCGAGGCGACCCTGGTACTCACGGCGCATGCTGGCAATTTAGCACAGGCCCCTTCCAGCCTGGCTTTTAGTCTCCACGCCTCCGACCTCGGGCACCGGCGGAGGCCCGGCTGGCGCCCGCTCGCGGCAGCGCCATGCCCTCCTTCACCCTCACCCGCCGCTGCGGGCCGCCTCTCACCTGGCACGCTGGCATCGCCCGTCCAGCGCCGCACTGGAGACCATGGGTCCGGACAGGTCTCAGACGCCACCCGCCCGTCTTGAAAGAGGCTGGTGGGGATGCGCGGGGACCAGATTTTTTGCGCGCTGACACCGGGAACACGCCGCCTGGTTTCTAAGGAACACAGGGCTCTGGGAGGGAGGGGCGGGACGGCGGGAGGACGGCGCATGCTCTGTGAGGGGGGTGGATCCGCGCGGGGCGGGGCCAGCGCTAGGAGCTGCGCATGCTCCCCCATTGGAGGCGGGGCTTAAAGTCGCTGGGCTGCGTGGTCCTGGTCCTCGGCTTCCCGCGGCGGACGTGGTGGGAGGCGAACCGACCCAGCCTTGGCTCACCGATTGGCGTCAAGGCTGAGATGGGCACTTGAGAACTGTGGTCGATTTGAGTTTTCCGGTAATGAAGAAAAGTCTTGTTGACACAACGACCTATCTTTGTAAAAGACCAGGTCCGGGTTTGGTGTACTGATTACTAGTGTATTCTCTGGTGCCTGTCTGGACGACTCGAAATCTGGATGTTATTTGACTGTTCCTTAAATGTCAGTTTTCTAAACTATGACTTCAGTGCCCTACTGTATTCTCCCAAAGAAATATATTTAGTAACAAAGCAGCCCTTGGGCTCAGCAGTGCTAGCTTAGGTCTTGTTGTGAAACTGGCTCTGTAGGAATTGGGATTGGAGGTTACTACTGCCTGGAAAGTCTCTGCCCCTGCTTGTCTGACTGTCTAATGACCCATAGTCTCCCACCCATCTGCATCAGGAGGGCCTCTCAGCTATCATTCCACAGCAGCCAGTGATGACAAGAACATGCCAGATGACCTGAGGCAGTTATGCCTGTGATCTGCTGACCAGCTGTAGAACTGCACCTGCTTTGAGCTTGAGACAGGAGTTGCTTTCAATCTGAACTTGAGAGGTCTGTCTGTCTCTCTCTCTCTCCCTCCCTCTCCCTCTCACCTGGGCTGTGTCACTGAGCTGCTTTTTGCGCAAGGCTAGCACTCTACCACTTGAGCCACAGTACCACTTCCGGCTTTTTCTGTGTATGTGGTACTGAGGAATAGAACCCAGGGCTTCATGTATGCTAGGCAAGCACTCTACCACTGAGCCACATTCCTAGCTCTTGTTTCTTAATTTTTAAGGACATTTGTACTATATGTAAAAATCAAACCCATCCCTCTATGACTCCTCCCTCCCCACTTCCTAGAATAAGTTCAACAGGGTACACATTTTTTTTTGTAGGTTGTGGGGCTTGAACTCTGGGCCTAGGCACTATCCCTCAGCTCTTAAACTCAAGGCTAGCTGGGTGCTGGTGGCTCACGCCAATAATCCTAGCTACTTAGGAGGCTGAGATCTTAGGATCACAGTTCAAACCCAGCCCGGGCAGGAAAGTCTGTAAGACTTTCATTTCCGGGGCTGGGAAGGTGGCTCAGTGGTACAGCGCTTGCCTTGCATGCCTGAGGCCCTGAGTTCGATTCCTCAGCACCACATAAGCAAAAAGAAAAAAGCCGGAAGTGGCGCTGTGGCTCAAGTGATAGAGCGCTAGCCTTGAGCTAAAGAGCTGAGGGCCAGCGCCCAGGCCCAGAGTTCAGGCCCCACGACCGACCGGACTCAAAAAAAAAAAAAAAAAAAAAGACTCTCATATCCAATAAACCACTCAGAAAACCAGAAGTGGTGCTGTGGCTCAACTGGTAGAGCGCTCACCTTGAGATGAAGAGCTGAGGGACAGGGCTCAGGCCCAGAGTTCAAGCCCCACAATCAACAACAACAAAAAAAAAAAAAAAAAAAAAATTGAAGGCTAGCGCCCTACCACCTGAACCACAGAGCCACTTCCGGTTTTCTGGTGGTTTACTGGAGATAAGAGTCTCATGGACTTTTCCTGCCCCGGGGTGTGGCTCTGAGCCTCAATCCTCAGGCTCCTGAGTAGCTAGGATTACTGGCGTGAGCCACTGGCGACCGGCTTACATTGTTCTTTTGTCTTACAGGTATATAAAATGATTCAACCGGGACCCCATACCTTCTCTTTTCCCCCAGAGGAACACTCTTGAAACTAATGTCAGCAGCCGTGCACTGGTGGCCCACACCTGTAATCCCCCCCCCCAAAAAAAAAAAACAGAGTCAGTGTGCCTGTGTTTAATAACTTCTGGTCATTGTCAACACTTCCAAAATCAGGATTTCTCAGAAGCAGCCATATTGACATTTGGGATCTGATCATTCTTTTTTGGGCATGGGTAGAGAAATCACTACGGGATATTTAGCATCATCACTGTGGCCTTGAAATGCCGGCAGCAACCCCAACCTCAGCTATGATTATCAAGGATATCTCTGATTGCCCAATATTCCTTGACAGGGTCAAAGGCAAAATGATTCCATTAGTCTGGAGGAAATGAGCCTATTCCAGGACTACTGTGCTTAATCTTATACCTTACTTTTTTTTTTTTTTTAGCATTTTATACACAAATGTTTATTTCTCAATTAAACATTCCCTTTAAACACAAGGAATGAGTTCCAAATCTTCATAAAGATGAATTAAAAATGAAATCTCTCCAGTATAGCATGTGTAATCACTGAGTTCTTAGTCACTACTGTTTACTGTTTAACATCAAAAACAAAGACAGGTTATTTAAAAATCATGTTACTGGATTTCTAGTTCTTCCTCTATGATACCTTACTCTTTACACTAGTTCTCAAGAGATTTGTAAGGGGTAAAGTGAGCTACAGATCAGAGGTAGAACACTATAGGTATAAGGTCCTTGGTTCAATTCCCAGGACTGGAGAAAAAAAGTTCTGTAAGATGCTACTAAGTGAAATTCTGTAGTAATGAAAGTTTAGAAAAATCAGTGTAGTTAAGCAACACATTAACACAGGATGTTCAGAATTTTCAAATAGATAGTGATGTTTACTATAAACATCCAAGACATAGTTTTCCTGATTTACAGGTCTCTTTGAGATATGATCCTACATGCTGTCCTTCAGCAAACATCTCTACCCCAGTAACTTTTAGCTACCATCTGCTGCTTTCTTTTTCTTTTTCTTTCTCTTTTTGGCCAGCCCTGGGGCTTGAACTCAGGACCTGGCATTGTCCCTAATCTCTTTAAGGCTAGCACTCTACCATTTGAGGCACACTCCCACTTCCAGCCTTCTCTGCTTATGTGGTACTGAGGAATTGAACCCAGGGTTTCATGCATGCTAGGCAAGCACTCTATCCCTAAGCCATATTCCCAGCTCCACCTGCTTCTTCTGTGTATCATTTTGTGCCATCATTATGCATCCTGTCACTCACTCCAACCAAAGCCTGTTTGCTTTGTCTCGTCTCTCACCTTCAGTATTATCACATTCCTTGAGCCAAAAAAATTTTTTTTAATAAAAAAAAACTTTATTGTTAGGGGCAAGAGGATGCAAACAATATAAAAATGAAAAGCTTATTTGGCATTTAATTAACGTTCCTTTCTCTGCTTGTCAAATGGGAGTTGGATGCTATTTGTACTTTTTCCTAAGGGTCCTCATCTGTCATAAAATCTTTTGTGGGTAGACGGGTTGGGAAGGTGGCTCAGTGGTAGAGCACTTGCCTTGCATGCATGAGGCCCTGGGTTCGATTCCTCAGCACCACGTAAGCCGAAAAAAAAAAAAGCCAGAAGTGGCACTGTGGCCCAAATGGTAGAGTGCTAGCCTTGAACTGAAGAGCTGAGGGACAGTGCCCAGGCCCAGAGTTCAGGCCCCACAACTGGACCCCCCCAAAAACAAAAACAAAAAAATCTTTTGTGGGTAGATCCCTTACTTGACCCTTCAGAACTCTTATGCAGTGGGCAGAAATAAGTGCTGGATTCTATCTACTTCTTTCCCTTCTGCTTCATGTGTACTACGAAGTAGTCATTGCATGCAATGGTGAGTCCTGCAATTAGTGAAAAGCAGCTCTGGAAGCCACTTTGCCATCTTGGCACTGATCCAGGTCCTTCATTATTTTGTCCACAGCCAGAGGATCTTTTTGGTTTTCCAAAAATCCAGGGAACTCCTTATCCATGAGTACTCTCAGGTCTTCCTTTACTAAGTAGCCTTTATCCCCTGCATATTTGTGAAATGTAACCATGATGGTTTCCATGGCGTGTTCCATTTGAGATGGCATTTTAGCAAGGTCTGTTGAAATCTTATCCCCCCGGGGGGCGCGGCACCCCAAAATGTTTTTCTTATTTAACTTGCCTTATTATTTGTGGCCTACTATAGTAGCATCCTACTTTGCATCCAATCTGTTTCTAGTCTCACCTTTGGGTAGACACCAGCACGATGGATTTTTATCTCTCCTATGCACAAAACCTTTTTTTTTTTCTTGTCAGTTGTGGGGCTTGAACTCAAGGCCTTGCTGTTGTCCCTGAGCTTTTTGCTCAAGGCCAACCCTCCACCACTTCCAGTTTTCTGGAGATAAGAGTCTCATAGACTTTCCTTCCTACCTGGGCTGGCTTTAAATCATGATCTTCAGATCTCAGCCCCCTAAGTAGCTAGGATTGCAGGCATGGCCATCAGTGCCTGGCTAACTCCTTGGTTTTATGTGGCCAGGAGAGGCAGAATTAGTCATACCAGAGAACATCATGAAGGAAGAGTACTCACATGTACTTTGTTTCTAAGTTCCAAGTACCTCTCAAACTTGAATCATCCCTTACCTCCACAGGATACACAAATAAGCTACATTGAAAGGATGGGAAACAAGCTGAGAGAGGTCTTTTTCATTCTTTTCCTTCAGTGCTGAGGATTGAACTCAGGGCCTAATACCTTACCATTGAGCTACATCTCAACTAAGAGGTCACCTAGTTAATAAATGGTAAACAGCTGGTCTGGAGTTGTGGCTTACGTGGCAGAGTCGTAGCCTTGAGCAAAGCAGCTTAGGGACAGCGCCCAGGCCTTGAGTTCAAAGCCTAGGATTGGTGTAACACACACACACACACACACACACACACACACACACGAAGAAAAAAGAGGAGGAAAAAACTGCCAAATATAACTTTTTCTTGTCATATTTCCTAAACAATAGGATAACTACTTACAAAGCATTTTTCAGGTACTGGGAATAATAGAGATAACGGTATATAAAAGGATGTCTGTAGGTATATAGAAGTATACTATTTTGTATATAAGGGACTTGAACATGGGAGGTTTCCTGGAACCATTTCCCTGTAGACACTGAGAAATAACTACATCCTTAAAAATCTTACTTTTATGGGAAATTCTGTGGCTCACCTTTTTGAGGCTGAATTTGCTGTTTTCCTTGTCTAATATGAAAGCTGTTTCAAGGAACAGAACTGTAGCTGCAGTGCCTATCCTCTTTGGGCTCTTGCAAACACGAAGTTTCAAAGGTACTTAAGAGGCACCAGGGCCTGAGCACTCTAGAGCCGAGTTGAGGGCCTGATTTCTCTGGAACAGGATGTGTCAACACAAAGCACACCAACCTCCAAGAAACTTGAAACAGAGACGAGACAGTCATGACTGCTCATGGATGTGTATTTTAATAAAAATAATTCTGTCAAAATACAACAGGAGTTTTTCTCATCTCAAGTACAATTTTAATAGGATGTTTTGTGTTAGAATTCTCTCGACCCTCCCAAACCCTTAAGTTTCATGCTAATGCCAGATACCAACTAGCGAGGACAAAGGCAGAAGCAGTGTGCCCAATGTGAAGGATTTCTGTTTCAGCTGTAGTTAATAATGGGAGGAAATCTTTTGCAAGGGAGCGGGGTACTTGGGCAGCCAGAAGCCACCATCTGGCCATTGGTCCAGGTGCCTGGCGGTCAAGTAGGGCTCTGGTGTCCAGCTGCCACACTATGTGCATACCTGAGTTGTGAGCAACCAAAGGAACCTTTCAGCTCCAACAGTCCTCTGTCTCAACTTCTTTGTGCTTGCTTAAGGGCCGGGAAGGTGCTGGGTGGCTAGGTAGTCCCCACTCCTCTACGTGTAGTATCCCTGTTCTGATGGCCTGCACACAGCCTCAGACCCATGTGGGTAGGGATTGGGAGTTTTGACTTTCTTTGAGTGGTCTGCCAGTTTCTACTCTCGAGAGAGCAACTATCTGGTGCCACAGGCAAGGTGAGTAGGGAAGGCTGCACCCCCAGGTCTGGATAACTGAACAGTGCCAGGTCTTCCTCCTGCCCCCATAGATTAGGTCCAGCCCTTCACCAGAGCTGTTCTGAGGTGCTCTCAGGGCTCCTGAAAGCTGATAGGCTGATCGGTCTGGGTGTGCATAAGGGGCTCCTCTACCTGCAGGTGGGCCTGGACTATCAGCAAAGACAGCCAGCTCAAGCAGCTTGGTTTTGACCTCTCCATGGCTTGTGGGGGCAAAGGCTTATGTCCCAAAGGTGAGTTATCCAACTGGGACAGGGAGCCCCTCCAGAGAGGAACAGAGTAAACAACTTGAATTCAGCTGAAACAGTGAGATAAGGCACAGAAAACGGGGAGGTGGCATGGGTACTGAGTGCAAGCCAACCCTATGCAGCACACAGCTGTCCCGAGCCCTCCAGGGCCCTTTCTTAGCTACTCCACAACTCAAGTCAAGGCATCTATCCCCATCCCTGACACACTCATGAAGGTACCAGTACCAGGCACCACTGGAAGCCATGCCAACCTGACCCCTTACAGGGCTCATATGTTATTTTGCCTCAGGACTAGGAATAAGGTTAGTCCTTATTTTGCCTGTATATAGCTACTAATTTGCTGTGTGACTTCAGACAAGTCACTTATTCTCCTGGATCCCTTATTTGTAAGAGATTATTGGAGATGTTGTCTAAACTCCTGTAATTGCAAATACCTCTGGATTTACCTCTCAATCCTGCTAGGCTTTGTGTATGTGTGTGTGGGTGAGGGTGGGCACATAATCCTGGAACTTGAACTCAAGACCTGGGTGCTGTTCCTGAGCTTTTTTGCTCAAGGCTAGCACTACCAGTTGAGCCATACCTCCAATTTAGGGTGTTGGTTTTTTTTTTGGTGGTGGTGTGAGGGTTAATTGGAGATAAGTCTCATGGACTTTCCTGCCCAGGCTGGCTTCAAACCTTGATCCTCAGATTTTAGCCTTTAAGTAGCTAGGATTATAGGTGTGAGCCTTCAGCACCTGACTCAGGCTGATTATTTGTGTGTGTGTGTGTGGGGGGGGGGGGGTAACTGGAGTTTAAACACAGGACCTCATTACATGAGCCGTACCTCCAGCCCCCCCGGCTGACCATTTTAACAGCCTGATGTTTCCAATCTCTGAGGCTGCAGCTTGTTTTTCCACAATGAATTTCCCATCTCCTGATGGGTCATGATTTATGGACTGACAGATGGAGCCCTGGCAAGGATTAAGAAAAAGAAATAGCCTATAGGATGATCCTCCAAGACAACATTCTGGAAGATCTCTGCCAGAGTCCTGGTCTCTCATCAGCAGCTAATTCACCTAAATTGTTTGGTTTTTGTCCAGCTGTGGGCTTGGTAGGGAGGAAGTATCTTAGGCCTTACCAGGCACTCCCATGTCCACTTACAGAGCAGATGCTCAACCAGCCCAGGTCCAGAAATTCTAAGTTCAACTTCTGGCTTTGCATGGCTGACCCTAATCATTATAGAACTACTTGTGGGCTGTCCTCCACACTGTGAAGCAGGTATGGTAATCCCAGCCCCTCCAGGTGCTCCTCTGTGTAGGACTCTCCTTGTTTCTCCTCCTGGACAGCCAGTCTTCTCCACAGATGGCCACTCAAGTCCTGGCAGCATCTCAGCCCTTCCAGTGGTAGCAGGACTTTTGCCTAACAGCTGGAAAGGATCATCTGAAACAACTGGTAAGACATTTGTAAAGCTCATAGGGGGCTGGGGGGGGGGGGTGGCGTGGCAGCAGTCCCTTCCTCTTCCCTACAATGGCTTGGGCCAATCTGCAAACAGTAGCCTGGCACAGCTGCAGAAAACCAGGTACACAGTCAAGTTACATCTACTCCAGGGACCAGCATCTGCTTCCATGAGGTACCATCATCAATCCCATCAGAGCTGTTCAGCGACTGTTAAAAGACCCAAGCAGGAAGAGAGCAGTCCCTGTCCTCAAGAGCCTCTCTCCTGGGAATGAGTGCTCCTCCTAGCGGCTGGCACTCAGCAGCTCTTGGTCTGAAGGCAGGTAGTTTTCAGGAAATCAATGGAGAAGAAATGAATTATTTGGCCACCTTAATAACAAGTGAAGGCAGGACATTGAGAAGAGAAGAGGGACAAGGCAGGTAGTGAGAGGCAGGGTAGAATGGTAGACAGTGTGCTGGCCAAGGACCCTCTGCTTCCTTGCTTTGCTGTATGGCCCTGGGCCAATTTAGCACTTCTTTGGATTTCTGGCCTTGCAGCTCTCTGCTTAGTCCAACTCTCAGGGGCCTAGGAACACTCATACTTAGGGATATCCAATATCTCCTGAGATGCTGCAAAGCAACTTAGCCTGACCCTGCCTACCAAGTCCCCTGCCCTACCCCAAATGTCAATGCAATTTCTCTGTGTGGCAGCTGGGCCTGTGGCTCAACAAAGAGGGAGCCTAAAATAAATCACTTTGCTGAGGTGACAGAGATGATATTTTTTTTTTTAATGAGTTGGACTAAAATAAAAACACATAGTGTCTGGACAGCCTCACCCAAGAGGTGCTGGACCACTAATGCTACGATAAATACTGTGTCTCTTTTTTTTAATATATATATATATTTATATATATATAATCTCATTTATTTTTTTTCCTTTTTTTACTTATGAAAATAATAAGCTATCACCAACCTGGATAGGTTTTATCACTAAATTAGCAGAAACCAGCTCAGCACAAATTCTCCCGAGATAAACACTGGTGGCTCAGTCAGGAGGAAAAAAGATTAAAAAAACCCCAACCCCTCCTCAAAATAAAAGCTCCTTTAAAAGAGAAGGCGCTACATGAGTAACCAGCCAATACTGTGTCACAGGCCTCTGCACATAAAGGGAAGAGAGAGTAAGGAAAAGAGAGAGGGAGCAAGATGAGGAAAGAAAGAGGGAAGGAAGAAAGGAAGAAAGGAAGGAAGGAAGGAAGGAAGGAAGGAAGGAAGGAAGGAAGGAAGGAAGGAAGGAAGGAAGGAAGGAAGGAAAAGAGGGAGGGAGGGAGGGAAGATGGGCAGGCAGGCTGGGCAGGAGGAATGGACTCTTTCCATGGCTTCCAGGTCCCTGTGCCAGGTGCATATGGAGGGCAGGGCTGCTCCAGCCTGGGAGCCGAAGGAGGGCCAGGTGGGGCCAGCCAGTAGTATGGTCAGCTAGTGCAAGTAGTCATCAACTCTGGCAAAGGAGCAAGATCCCAGGCCCGCTCGGGCCATGAGCCGTAGACATTCAGATGCCTGGCCCAGGGCGAGCATCAGAGGAGGCTGCTTTGGCAGGTTCTGAGACTCTGTGGAGGAGATATAGGGACCAGTTACTGCCCTAATCAGGGTTTGGAGCCAGGTCTAAGTTCCTTATAGGTGGAATGGGGAAATAGAATTTTTTTTTTTGGGTCCAGTCGTGGGGCCTGAACTCTAGGCCTGGGCGCTATCCCTCAGCTCTTCAGCTCAAGGCTAGCGCTCTACCACTTGAGCCACAGTGCCACTTCCGGCTTTTTTTCTTTTTGCTTATATGGTGCTGAGGAGTCAAACTCAGGGCCTCAGGCATGCAAGGCAAGCGCTCTACCACTGAGCCACCTTCCCAGCCCGGGAAATAGAATTCTTGTGAGTATCCTAGCCACCAGGCCACGGCCCTGTAGGCTCTGTACCTGACAGCAACCTGAGGACCTTGGCTTTCTCTTATGGTCATAATCTAGCAGCAAACTCAGTTGGGAAGGTCAGGATTTAGGCTCGGCCTGGAAACCCAGAAACCCTGTGAGTCATCAGAGATGGTCTGGGCCAATCTCACTGTTCTTTGCCGGGAGAGCAAGGAGGGGCCTCTTAGACACTCATGTGTCAGGATCTGCTTTGGTTAGATATACTCACCTAAAATGGCGCTGTTGAGAGCAGCGCATACAGGTTCTCTCTGGATGGGGTCAAGCTGCTGGCCAACTGGGCAGCTCCAGGGATCTGAGTACGCCAGTAGGCTGAAGGCATCCTAAGGAACAAATCACTCTTAAGAGGACTGTGGCACATATTAAACATACTCTATGCCTCTAGAGGGGACAGAACATAATGCCTAGGGAGAGAACAACACACCTGGCTGTAGCCTGCAGGGTTGCACCCTTACTAGACCACAGACGCCCACTTTCCACTAAAGATCTGACACAGCAAGGTGCAGGTGGCTCATACCTATAATCCTAGTTACTCAGGAGGTTGAGATCTGAGGAGTTCAAAGCCAACCCAAGCAGGAAAGTCCATGAGACTCTTATCTCCAATTAACCACCAGAAAACCAGAAGTGGCACTGTGGCTCAAGTGGTAGAGTACTTGCCTGGAGCTAAAGAGCTCAGGGACAGTGCACAGTTCAAGCCCCACGAACAAAAAAAAAAGACCTGATAGAGCCCACTCCGCCCTATTGCTGCTGCCCCTGGATATGCCAAAGCCATCCGGTCCCCAGAATCAAGTGAGGTCCTGCTCATTGTGTTGAGGGCCTGACTCGTTCTATACCTGTAACATTTCTGTGTGGGCCAAATTCTTGCCATACTCGCGGCCCAGCTGCTCACTTAGTGCTTGCAACTCACGGCCAAACAGGATGATCCTCTCTGTGGCAGCCTGGTTGCCCCCACAGAGCTGCCGTCGTGGATGTCCATCATCTGTACCCAGAGGCCAGCAGAGAACACAATAGGAAGAAAGAGAAGAGAAAGTTAGGAAGACCTAAGAAGCTGTAACTTCTGGCAGTCAAGGGCTCAGAGAATAAGGGGAGCAGCCAGAGCACAGATGCTTTCAAGTGTACCTAGCACACAGGCCAGGGTCAGACAGGACCTGGAAGCTGCTCTCTTCCCACCCTGCACAGATGTACAGTGCTCATCAAATTCTCTCCAGCCTCAAACATAGGGCTTCTGGTTTCTTGGCAGCAGGCCTGAGTCTTACTACACATTTGAAGCTACTTCAGGAACACGTCCATGAATGGCTCAGAAAGTAGTAGACCTTGTCTGACTAGAGCTTCTAAAGCTGCTTAATGCTTCCATCCCAGTCCCTTCAGAGGCACTGTGTATTGCCCTCTCAGTAGCCATCAGGTGGGTCATGCTGGGGCACAGCCCTTACTTACCCATGCTAGACTCATCTGTCTGCAGGTCCTCATGTTTGTAGGCACCATTGACAATGCGTGTGGACATGGTTTCCAGCATGCCATTGGGATAATGTTCTGCTTCCATCTCCATTTCGCTATCACTGTGAAGAAATGAAGTGAGAATGGGGAATTGGCCAAGGGGATGTTGTTGGAACAGCCTGGCTGGGCCTCCATTTAGTCTTTAGCTATGGTGGCTGCAGATAAACAGGGGCTGCCAGGAGCATGAAAGAAAAGACCAAGCTTCCCAGGCTCCAAGGGACTTGGCACCTACTACAGCTATCTCCAGAGGATTGTCACTTGGTTCCCATTCTTCTACAGTTGCTCCTGTGATTTTTTTCTTCCTGGCTCTCCTGTGAGCAGACATGTCTCTTCTACATATTCATTATTCCTAATGACTAAGTACCATGGGCCTCTTGGGCATCTCTGTGGCCTTGGTTGAGAGCCAAATTCAGAAAACTTAGAACATGCAGAGAACCTATACAAGCCACCTGGAGCTGTAGTTTGCAGCTCAGATCCCCTGTCTGCAGACTGGTTGCTCAGGAGCCAGATCCTATAATAACTCCTTCATAAAATACCATAGCAGGGCCAGCCTCTTTGGAAGACAAGTCCCCGTAGAGGAAACCACAGTCAGGCAGGGTCAGCACCTCCAAAGAAAGCCAGGGCCAAGAAAATTGACCACAGCTAGCACTTCAGGCATAGACCTATGATAGAGGTAGAAGTGAAGTGCAGGGGACAGCACTTGAAGGACAGACTGCAGTGGACCCAACAGAGCAAAAGCAGAGTGGAGGAAGCGTAGCAAGACAGGCACCTGGTCTCCTGGTTACTGGTACTGCTGTGGGGCTGGGACTTGGTAGAGTCTGTTGAGTTGGACTCGGAGTAATTGACGGAGGACGGGGAGGAGGAGGACGAGGAGGACGAGGACGAGGAGGAGGAGCTGGGTGCGGGGTATTTACTGTGGTTCTGTTTGCTCTTGGTGGATGCGACGCCATTGCTGCAGCTGGGACTGTCTGCTCCTAGAAGCCGGGGATGGTCAGAGGAGGAGGGGCAGCTTGCCATCAAGCGGGACCCAGGGGTTGCCACAGTGGTCCCTTTCCCTTCCCCCCAATCCAGCAGCCGGCCCTGAGCCCACTGTAGGGAAGAGCATGTAGGGTGGCCATTCTTCTCCACACCAGCTCTTCCCAGAGCCCTCTGGGGAGTGGCTGACCTGTGTTGTGCATGTGGGAACTACTGGGGCCATGTCGGGGGCTGAGGCTGGGGGAGCCAGGATAGCTGTCTTGGGACTTGGGGCTTCGGGAGCTCAAGCTGCGGACCTCACTGTCGGTGCCATTCACCATCTCCACAAATTGTCGGCACCTGTGGAGGGAGCAGAGCAGCGAAGCTCTGGGCCTGGCCCGGGCTATAGGTTCATGCCACCAGCAGAGGGGCTGGGCTGTGGGACTGACAAACCCAACTTACTTGAGCATGAAGAGCAGGTTAGGGTTGTGCTCCAGCAGCCCAGGGTAGAAGTGCTGGGTTGTCTCAATGGCTTCACCCACCCGGCCTTCCAGCACCAGCTTCTGGATCTCTGCAGAGAACAAAAACACAGCCATAAGTGAGGATCATAGATCTTCTTCATAGCCATATATATATGGGACATGGCAAGCCACAGGGTAGAAGCCAGCCAAGAGTCATGTGAGATAGTTCAGAGTGTCCTGCTGCCTGAAGATGCTCACAGAAGAGGCTAAAGAGAGAACCTGGCAGCTCAAGCCCACAACAGGGCATGGTTTCTGCCAAGTGTCAAGGAGTCCTCAAGAAAAAGAGAGGAAAGTGCGGGGGGGGGGGAGGAGATGGGAAGGGGAAACAAAGGAGGAGGTGGAGGAGGCAACAATGCTTGATAAGAAATGTACTTATTACCTTGCCCATGTAGTTGTAATCCCTCTGTACAGTATTTTCACAATAAATTAAAAAAAGAAAAAGAGAGGAAAATGAAGGGACCTTGCAGTCCAGAGACAGAAAGGGAATTTGGAGGCTCATTCCTGTGGGACAGAACTGAAGGGAAAACCCTGGCTGTGGCAGCACGATCTTCACACAGACACCCAGGAAGCTAGTGATCTAAGGCTTCTCTGCAAACATTCCCCTTTCTCCAGGTCCTGAAGGGGAGCGGCAAGGGGAGTGCATTGATTTAGACCAGGGCTCTTGCACTGGCAATCTGTAGGGGCTGCAGTATGCTCCCTTGCTGGGAGAGGAGGTCATCGGCACACTGGTATCACTGATGGTAACACCTCCTGGGCCACAAGCATCTTAATAATTCCCTCTCAGTTTTGTGCTGGGACCTGCTGAATCTTACTAGGAGTGACTTCTAGGTCTGAGGCTCTTTCATCCATAGATCCCAAGTCTGGGATCCCTTTCCACCTGTCTGGCTGAGCACAGTTTTTCTGGGAGACACAGACACATGCACATATAAAGAGAGACACACAGTCAGGCACTCAGACACACATGTCCACAAACACCCACTTACTTATATCATCTTGTCTTTCTTCTTCCTATCATCTCCTGTACAGGCTCTGATATCTGGCCAACACTTCCCTTAGTTAAGGGGCACCAAACACACAGTACACAGGCAATATGAATACTAGGAAAGCTGGTTTGGGCCAAAAAGAACTAGGCTGTCTGCAAATGGCAGGACCAGGGGCAGGAAGAAAAGAGAGTCATCTTCACTGAGCATCAGCTTTGCTCTGTCTGACCATTAAGTCCTCTTTGGCTAGGAACAAGCAGAACTTCCAAGGTTGAATAAATAGTTGGAAAGATAGGATATGAGTATCACAAGACGCAAACACTCTTACTGGAAGACCATGAATAGGAGACTGAGTAGAATCCAGGTCTCAGAAGGGAGGAAGCAGGCATAGAGGAACAGGATCTAGCCGTGCCAGGACCAGACCCCTACCTGGCTTTCAGAGTGGAGGTTAATGAGGCTGCTCTGACACCTTCCTCTAGCTGTTCACGTGGGCAGTGCTGTCTGGAAGGAGGAACAAAAGCAGGGTCTGGGACTAGCCTTGGGCTAGTCTCCAGAGTGGTGAGGACTGGACTCCTGACATGTTAACCAGGGCTGGCATGAGTCAGAGATTAGAATCAAGGACAGGTGAAAGAGAAGGGTAGTGGAGAATTAACCTTACTTTGTCTGTTCTTTATGGACGCCTGTTCTTCCTGAATCGGGGTTTCAGTCATTCGGGCAAAAGCCGTGGCCGTGGCACAATACCCATGATGCACCAGGTAAGACGAGACCATGCTAGAAGAAAGGAAGAGCTTGAGGTGACACTCAAGAACCATATTTCTCATGACCTCTTGGTGAAACAGACTACTTCCCTATGCAGTTTTCCCTAAATACATCTTGGAGGTTACAATACCCACAGAACTGAAAAGATTGGAACAAAATGAAAATTTCCCTCAGTTCTCATGCCAATAAGGCAGGGAAAGGGGTTGGTCACATCTGTGCTCACAGGCTGGAGGAATGTCTACAGTTCTCTGGGACATGATGCCCCCAAACCTCATAGGAGCAACTGTCTTCTGGTAAATGCTAGCAAGCCTAGAGCCAGCCAATTGTTTCACCCAAGGCTTCCTGAAATGACAACCAGCCAAGAAGTATATGGCAGCTTGCCAGACACAGAGCATGCCTGGTGTATGCATACCTGCCAAACACACAGGAGCTCCTCTAGGGCTGCCCATACTCCAGGGATCCTGCCCTTTTGTAGAACTGGGTCTACAGTGATGGCAGCTAATTCATGAACCAAAGTTATTCCATGATACGCCACAGAGGGAGGGCCCAAGAAGGGAAGATATCAGGGTGATCTTGCTGTAAAAGGACAAACACCAGCAGGACTAACAGGAACACAATCTTTGGGAAAAGGACTTCATGTCCAGTAGGTATTAAATGTCACCTGAAGCTGTCTGAGCAGTGGTATATGTGTGCATGCATATGAGAGTATATGTACGTGTAGAGAGCAGAAAGATGAGTCATCATGCCTGATGTAAACAGATGTATATATGCCAGGTGCTAGTGGCTCACAGCTATAATCCTAGCTACTCAGGAGGCTGAGATCTGAGGACTGTAGTTCAGAGCTAGCCCGGGCAGGAAAGTCTGTGAAACTCTTATCTCCAATTAACCACCACAAAAACGAGAAGTAGAGCTGTGTCTCAAAGTGATAGAGGGCTGGCCTTGAGCACAGAGAGGCTCAGGGACAGCACACAGGCCCTGAGTTCAAGCCCCCCTCCCCCCAAAAATAGGAGTAAATACTAGGTATGTATGTGCCTGATGCCATTTTCAACAAATGCTTCAAGGACTACTGTGGAAGGCCTAGATGTTTGTCTATGTTTCTCTTCATATTTTAAAGGGTAAATGAGAAAATACTAATAAAGTACCTGCCATAAAGTCCATAAACAAAATCTCTTATTATGAAATTATACTACATAATAGTACACTCTGGGTAATCATTATAACTATTATTATTATAAACACAAGGGAAATTTTTTGACAGAAACATGGTTCAGCTGAACATTATTAGATGCCTCTAAAATGCAGTTTTCTGGTCCCAAGAATTCCACTTCCTAAAAGGTCATCATGAAAATAATTCTACTTAGAGAAATTTTTTTATGTAAGAAAGGGTCACCTATAAGGAGGAGGGGGGGGAGAAAGAAAGGAAGAAAGAAAGAAAGCAGGGACTGGGGATGTGGGTCAGTGGTACAGTGCTTGTCTAGCATGTGTGAGGCCCTGAGTTCTATCCTCAGCACCACAAAATTAAAAAAATTAAAAACAAAGAATGAGAAAAAGGAAATATCAAACAGGGGAAGCTAGCCAAAAAGCTTGTGGCAAATTTGTCTCCTAAAAACCTAAAAATCATTTCCAGTATTTATTAAATAAAGCTATGTGAAACCACAAAACACAAATTATATACAAGTTTTGGCAAATACTGCCTAGGAACACATATAGGCACATGGATACACACAGAAACAAAAACATCCATGTGCTGAACCTGCACCCTGAAATCTAAAGGTGTACGTCCCTCGTACATGGGGGCCAGGCAGCTCCATCATTCCTCCTCACAAGCCTGCTATGGGAAGTAGTGCTATCCTGATCATGGGAAGAAACATTTCTCATCTGCACTGAGGGCTGGGAACCAGAGGTGCCTGGGCTGCCTGGCCATCTACCTGTGCCTTAGCCCTCAGTCAGGGTTGCCTTAATAACAATTCCTCAAGAAAAGGAAAGTTTCATAAAGAACTCAGGGTACATCCCAATCTCACACAAGGAACCCTGGCACCCCGGTATCTCTACAGGGCAAAGATGAGGGCTAGCCAAGCCCTTCGCACCCTCGGGAGCCAAGTTAACACCCCCTTTCCTAGCAGAGTGGGTACTGGTCATTGTCTCGCTTAGGACTGCAGCTGGCTACTTGAAGAAAAACCTCAAACCTGGCCTCTATGGGAGCCTCAGTAATGCTAGCTTCCAGGACAGTCTGGGAATTAATCAGTCAAGGAGCTGGCAAGGCTGGTCTGAGGGAACTCTCCTCTTGCCACCACTGATGTGGATGCATAAGACTTACCAGAATACTAACCTGTGGTCTGACTACAGGTATGACTTCCTCAGGCCAGAGTGAGTAGATACTTCCTATGGTGGAAAATAGCATCCACAGAGGAATAGACTACAAAGGGTTCTACAACATCCCCTGCAAAATGACCTGAGAGAGACAGCTGGGCACTGGTGGCTATTCCAGTAATCCTAGATATTCAGGAGGTTGAGATCTGAAGACAGCAGTTTGAAGCCAGCCCAGGCAAGAAACACTGTGACTCTTATCTCCAATAAACTACTCAGAAAAAGCCAGAAGAGTTCAGGCCCTGAGTTCAAGCCCTAGGACTAGCACACACACACAAAAAAGGCCTGGGAGGAACACAGATACTGCTGTTAAACACAGAAGCCTTCAAAACACTGGCTGAGGGGCAAATGCTTAACCAGCAGCAGCTCACATTGAGAAGGAAGCAGGCAACATTGAATCACCTAGGAATGCTTCCAGGAAGCACAGTCCTCTACAGAATTCCTAAAAGCAACCTACACGAGCATCAGATGGGGGAGATTGACACTCACTTCTGCAGCACCGCCTGCCATTCACCCAGCCGGGCGCTGATAGGGAAGCCGTGGACGGTGCCCTGGACCTTAGCACGCCATTCCCGCATGTAGTCCTCAATGTCGAACAGGAAGGGCTGCTGCCCAAAGTTGGCATCCACAATCTCCCCAGGTGTCTGGAGGCCTACGGTGGGGTAGAGGTTGGCCTGAGGAGGAGAATGAATGTCAGTCAGGCCCTGAGGGGCAGCAGGGCCTTGTTTTACCTCCATGGCTCCTGCCAGCCAACACTAGTGCTAGAAGAAAGTTGCCAAACAGGAGGTGGTAGAGCTAAGCTACATTTGGCCCACCTCCCTACCAAATACTATACCCCGAAGTTTAAAGGGAGAAAGCAAAAGAAAAGCAAGCAAGGCTCAATATGAAGTCTCCTGCTTTGCATCAGAGGCCATTGTGTACCCAAGGCCCAACAGTCCCTTCTAGAACTTATCTAAGACACAGCAGTGCAGGCTGAGCAACCCTGCGGGCATGTCCATGAAAGTGGGCTGCAGGGATGTATGATGGCTCCTCTCAGAAAGATCCAGGGCTAAGGACTCGTTGGCCACACACATACAAAAAAATGAGCTACATGAAGGGGGGAAGGAAGGGTCAGAATTGAAACAAAAGAGGAGGGAAGAAAAGAGCAGACAAAGGATTAGGTGAGTGGTACTAGGCTGGTAAACGGGAAGTGAGAAACTCTTGCCTTTCCAGTGATGGGGTCACTCAGCCAATGAAATGTGGGGCTCCCCACACTTTCTCCCCTACCATAAACAGGTCACTCTACTTTGTGCCTCCTCTGACTCCCATCACCACTGCCTAGAGCCTTAACTGCCTTCTCCAAGTCACTGTACCTCATCTTTCCAGGGTCTCCCAGTCTACTCTTTCCTTCCCATTCTTAGACCATATGTCATTCATGAGTACCATGTACCTTTTCTTGGCAGGCTGGGTTCATTCAACCCTCTATGAGCTCTCCTTTCTTTCTTTCCCTCTCATCCTCTATACCACAGGCAAAGCCTACCACCTCCAGCAACATTCTCTGACCCATCACTGCCCACAGGGACAGTAATTTCCTACACTTTCTAGAACTTGGCAGCATACTGCTTTCACTTATGTCCAGTCATTTCATGTCATGTCTCCACACCTAGATTCTTCCCCAACCAGCGTCAGAATTATCTTAACCCTTCTTTCTTTGTCTAGGTCCCTTCTAGGGTCTTCAGGTGGATGAGAGGGATTCCAATCCATACACAGGAGATCTGAACATGACCCTGGATGCTGTAATAGGTTGTGATTCCCTCAGATCACAAAGATGTTCCCTAGGGCATTATGGGGTGTCCAGGATCTCACAGCAGCCAACATAGTCAGTGAACCTTCCTTCCTTCCAGAACCAGTCAGAGCACATACAGTCAGGCCAGGCTCCCTGCATTCTGGGTGGAGGCTCTGCATGAGATGGTGCCTGGTGACTCATAGTTAAGTACTGGCAACAAGAGGTAAAGACAGCCCGAACTTATAAGCCCTGGCAACTCTAACCCCATCCTTTTTAAAGAGGAGAAACCCCACAAGGCTTCTCTCTCTCGCTTTGCGGGGGACCCAGCATGGCGGCAATGGAGATCCCTGAGGGCCTTGGGTTGCCTCAGGGATTTCTGATGGTCACATTCAAGAAATGGCTTCCTAAAATAGTTCAGAAATAGCTCCCTATCCTCTATACCCAGCCCACTGGCTGTAAGCTACAAGAAGCTGGCTCAGCCAGCTAAGCCATGGAGCTACTCTCTTCCACCACCATCTTTCCACCCTACCCACCCCACAGCTGCTTTTGGAAATACCACAAATTTCTGTCACCTGCTAAGAGTCGTGGAGGAAGACCAGGCCTTGCTGCTGGAGAGAGAGAGGAAGACCAGCAGGTACCCCCCATTGGTACCCTCAAGCTGACAGCACAGCACACATCCCTGGTTGAGGAAAGGGTCAGACTCCACACCGTGCACTTACAGGTACTCCCACACCCCATCCCAGGCAGCCCCCAATAGCCCAGGAAGGGGCAGGCCCACTGGTGGTACTTACCGGTAGGTCTGTGAAGGCTATACCTGTGGGGTGAAAGAAACAGTAATCAGGCCACTAGACAGGACCAGTCTCTTGCTCTCCTCTGCCACTACAGGTGTGTAATGGCCAAGTACCTGGCCTGACAGTTTTAGGCCCCAGAGAGGAAGTCAGATGCTTAGGTAACTATCCATAGCTCTCCCTAATCTCTCAAGGAAAATGTACTAGAAAAGACTAAAACATCTACCTCTTCAGGCCCTTCAGGACTGATGCTCCTCTTGACCAAATCACTGTTTATGGAAAACCAATTGTGGTGCTAGACTCTCTGTCATCCATTACCTCATACCAATTCTGGGGATCAGGCATTCTTATCCCAATTTACAGACAAGGAAAGTAAGCTTCAGGTTAAATGAACTGCCAACAGTCACAGAGCTGCCAGAAGTGGTGGATCTGAATGAATTTCTAGTGTGAGTTTGATGCTCCAGTGTCATGGCTACGCTGATAGAGAAGTAGAGACAGTGTATATATAGACCACACTCATTCCTCAGTGGCTCCAAGTTGGCACCCTCCAGTCAACAATGGCCTGTGTATCCTGAAAAACCTCCTGCCAGGAGAAGGAGCTGGATGTCCAGATGTCCTTATGGTTAAGGAGCTGTAAGCTGGATTTGTCAGTGGAAGAAGTAGAGCCTCAGAATATACATCAAAATGCTCATGTTTGGCAAACTGAGAAATAATGTAAGGGCAGGGCTATGGGAGCCTCTGCCAACACCTCATAGCCCTTTAAGATAAAGTCTACATCTCTGATGAGCTCCTGAGCCTGAAAGGTCTTCAATTGGCTGACCCCCTGGAAATCCCCAGTCTACTCCTCCAGTCCAGCCTTCATCCAGAAAAGAACCAGAAATCTAGCAAGAAAAAAACAGATAAGGCCTGACTATAGCTCTCTCAGAAAAGCCTTGGAAGAGGCACACTGCCTCTAATACTTGTTAATGGATGAAATACCAAGAAACAGATGATGTACTTTTTTGCTAAGTTACTCTGCTCCCTAACAGGGGAAAATCATAAACCCAAAGGCCTTACCGCCCAAGGTCACTTCTGAACCCCACATGCAGGATAAGCAGTCCCTCAGCAACTCTCCAATCTGCCCTCAACGATCTCAGAGTGGTCAGGATTTTGCTCACTCCTGGGCTTAGTGAGGAAGCTCACTTAACCCTGGAAGGAGTCCAGCTCCATCAGTTATTTGTAGTATAACCTTTGATAAGTTACTCAACTTCTCTGGGTTCATCTGCAGAATGGGGTAACACCTATCCTTCACCTCAAGAAAGAAAAAAGAACACAAGACAGTCTGTGAAAGCTGCTTCATAAATCATAAGGTCTAGGTCCAGGTTAGCTGTGGTTGGGCCACAGGGTGAAGCAACTGTCACACTTCTGGGCAGAAAATGAATATTAAGGCCTTTCCAGTGCTGCCACATGGCACTCAGGAAAAACAAGGCCTTGAGGTACTTCCAAGATAAGAAAAGAACTCCCTCCTCATACCACTGCACAACAGTGTTCCTCCAGCTCCCTGTTAGCTTTGCAAAGCCACTGTAATAGCAAGAACTAAGTTGACCCACATGAAGAATGACTATATCAAGATTCAAGAACAAAGGCTAGTCAAATTTACTGACATGAAGAGCCCTGGGCCAGGACTTGGAGTATGGTTCATGTCTTAGAGAGCCTGTTGAGAAAGGGAGGGAGGGGAAAAAAAGGCAGGGTGCTGGTGGCTCATGTCTGTGATCCTAGCTACTAAGGAGGTTGAAATCTGAGGATTGGGGTTTGAAGCCAGTAGCAGCAGGAAAGTCCATGACACTCTTATCTCCAATTAACCACCAGATAACCAAAAGTGGAGCTGTGGCTCAACTAGCTTTGAGCAAAAAGAGCTCAGGGACAGTGCCTAAGCCCTGAGTTCAAGCCCCACGACTGACCAAAACAAAACAAAAAAAAAACAAAAACAAAAAAAACAAAACAAAGAGAGAGACCTGGACCAGATGGTCAAAGGTCAGATATAGAGGCTGAGAATGGAGGACCCCTGTAAGAGCACAGTGCTGGGTGATAACGCTTAAAACACACAAACCACCTGTGAACTCAACTTGTTTCCTGCCTCCATTTACTCATTCATTCCTCTTCTAAGTATATGCTGAGGCTTCTCAGTAGCCAGCCTTGTCAATAGGACTGGAGAAACAGCTGCAAGCGAGGTCCTTAAAGTGCTTCCAAATCCAGCGAAAGAGATGACACGTGACACAGACAACTGAGTAATGGCACACAAAGCGAGTACTGTGACAGAGGAAGGGAGCTGGAAGGGCAGAGGCAAGAAAGGCCATCCTGCCTCTCGAAAGAGGACAGGCTTAGAGTATGAAGCACATTATTGATAAGGTAGCTTATGAGAAGGAAACAGGGACAAGAAAGAGAAGATTCAGCAAGCATCTGCCACTCCAGCTTCATTACATGATCTAGAAAATGCAGGGGATACGCTGTATCTATTTTTTAGTAAAGTCTCAATAATATCCTTGTGGACCAGATGAAAATTAAAACAAAATAAAAAAACCTACACACATACTTAGGTTTCTTGCTAACAAAACTGATTCATAAATGGCTGGTGTCTACCTGAACAAACTCAAATCTTAGACTTGTCCCCTTCCAATATTTTATCAATACCTTTATAAAAACATACTCAAACATTCTTATCAAATTTTAGGTTATGGCTAGGTACTTTTTTTTGGCTCACACCTGTAATCCTAGCTCCTCAGGAGGCTGAGATATGAGAACTGTGGTTTCAAGCCAACTTGGGCAGTCAAATCCAAGAGACTCTTATCTCCAATTAACCAGCAAAAGCCAGAAGTGGAGGTGTGGCTAAGTATTTTAATATCAGCTTTAAGCAAAAAGCTAGAGCACAAAGCCCTGAGTTCAAGCCAAACTCTCAGCAACCTAGCTCCCTGGCCTTTCCTGCCAGCTCTGAGTTATGGTGTGCAACTGCCCCAAACCAGGAGAAACAAGCCTCTGAGGAGGAAAATACCCTGCTCTTTCCTGCAGGGTTTAGGGTACAGCTGGCAGGGTGCTGCCACCTCTTTTTGTTATATCATTCTAGGGGTGTGGTCAAACCAGAGACCCCTGCAAGGCTAGGCTGGTAAGCCCAACAGTTAAAGCATTTACCTTGGGGCTACATACTAGTCAGTGCCTGCCAGGGCAAGGCATTAGAAGAATCAAAGTGTCCCTCATTCAAGTTCTAATGCTAAGTTTCTACATGTGCTTAGATAGCACTGCCTTCCAAAGGACCATTCAGGCCCCATCCTCTCCATAGGCTGATAGGTATACTCTTGTACTCCTTCTGGTATTATGTTCCACTAATTCAGCCACTTCTTGCCTTTTTTTTTTTTTTTTTGGGGGGGGGGGGGGCTTGGTCAAGGGCTTGAACTTGAGGTCTGGGTACTGTTCCTGAGCTCTTTTTGCTCAAGACTAGTGCTCTACCACTTTGAGCCATAGTACCACTTCTAGTTTTCTAAGATAAAAGCCTCACAGACATTCCTTCCTGGGCTAGTTTTGAACTTCGATCCTCAATCTCAGCCTCCTAAGTAGCTAGGATTATAGGCGTGAGCCACCAGTCCCCAGACTGCCTTTCCTTTTTTTTTTTTTTTTTGGTCAGTCATGGGGCTTGAACTCAGGGCCTGAGCCTCTTTGTGCTCAAGGCTAGTGTACTACCAAATGAGCCATAAATCCTCTTCTGTATTTGTTTGTTTGTTTGCCAGTCCTGGGGCTTGAATTTAGAGTGGGCACTGTCTCTGAGCTTCTTTTGCTCAAGGCTAGCACTCTACTATTTGAGCCACAGCACCACTTCCAGTTTTTCCTGTTTATGTGGTACTGAGGAATCAAACAGGGTTTCATGCATGTTAGGCATGCACTCTACCACTAAGCCATATTCCCAGTCCCACTTATGGTTTTTTGAGTTGTTAATTGGAGATAAGAATCTCACGGGGACTCTTCTGCCCATTTTGAACCAGCTTTGAACTACAATCCTCAGATCTCAGCCTTCTGAGTAGCTAGGATTACAGGTATGAGCTACTGGCACCCAGCTCCTTTCCTTCTTGAAAGCACACCTGATCTGTCACTAAGCCTTGCCAGGCTGCTCCTGGACCTTTATTGTGTTTGACCCCACTTTCTACATCCATAGCTATTGTTACTTCAGGCTACCTGTCCCTTCCTTTGGCCTTTTCTCTATTCCATCCTGTCTCTCTTGATTTCAAAGACTTCCTCAGTGTAATTCTGCCAAGGCTGCTGCCCATGAACCATGAACAGGCCATCTGATTCCTGCCTTCACCTTCTGTCCTGCAACCCTCATTGCTACTCCACAACAACCAGCACCTTGGCCACATCTGGCCAGGGCATAGGAATGCAAGCACCCACTACTATCAACTATGTACATGGGATCCTTACACCTCTCATCTAATACCTGCTCCAACAAGTGCCACAGGCAAGCCAGGATCAATGACCAGAGCACTGCTGCACTCTCAACACCCAGGCTTATTAAACCTGGTGACTAGACAGATCAACAATGGCTACCCTCTCTGCTCTCCTCTATTACACTCCACTCACCTAAAAAAGGGTTTGAATGGCTAAAAATGTCTGTAGCTCCCCAGAACTTAGCAGAGGCTCTGTGACACTGGTTTAACTTCAAGGCCTGCCTTTGAACCAACTAAAGTAGTTCCACAGGACAGATCCTCCAAGGTCTCCTATGTACCTACCAAGACTGTGGCCATTCTTGGTGTAGAAGCAGGTGCCATTGATGAGGTTGACACAGCAGCCAATCACATCTCCTGTGGTGAATGTGGGACCATATGGCTGGCCAGTCCCAGAGGAGCAGAAGGAATGCCCGTCATCACCATGGTAACCATAAGAATGTTTGTCCCAACCTGTGGGTGAACAGAACAGCAATAGCTGAAATGATGTAATTGAGAGAGGAACATGTCAGTCACAGAAACCACCCCCCCCCCCTTACCTTCCCTCTCCAACAGTCTAAGTCAGCACTCACACAGCCACTTCATAGAGTGTCTTGCTACACATCAAGCACATTCTGGCCATAAGTCCAGGCAGTAAGTCTAAGCAGCCAAGTCAGGAACCAAAACTTGGAAGGGACTCACTAGAAAGCAGTCAGGGAGAGGGCTGGAACTGACCTCAGAAGTCTATCATGGCAGATTCACTCAGAAGTAAAGAATCTAGGTCCTTATCTGCGGGCCCTTGACCCCTGCCTGGGGTGCTACAGTGTATTCTTATCACTTATGTGACCTAAGAATTCATCTTGTTCTCAGGCTAGAAGCACCAACTCCATGCTCCCCTAGTCCTTCACATGGTCCATCCAACTGCTTCTGCCTGGTGACTACCTAAGGGAGACTATACATATCTATAACCTACACCCCCACCTCCTACATGGACTGCACAGTCAGACTATGACCACCTCTCATTCACAGTGTGATCCTATTAACTCTAGCATGCCTACTTTAAACACACTAATTAAAATTTCCTTAGGAAAGCTGTTTGGATAATGCCCTGGGTCCATCAAAGATGGAAGCACAGGGAAGCCCCACTCTTCATCCCTCCCCCTTTTCCCCTAACTTTTCATTCCTGTCCCATACTATAGAAGTGCTGTATCAGTGAGATAAAAATCTCCAGCCCTGCCGGGCACTGGTGGCTCACGCCTGTAATCCTAGCTACTCAGGAGGCTGAGATCTGAGGAGCGTGGTTCAAAGCCAGCCTGGGCAGGAGAGACCGTGAGACTCCTATCTCCAATAAACCACCAGAAAACCGGAAGTGGCGCTGTAGCTCAAGTGGTAGAGTGCTCGCCTTGAGCTGCAGAGCTGAGGGACAGTGCCCAGGCCCAGAGTTCAAGCCCCACGACCGACAAAAAAAAAAAAAAATCTCCAGCCCTTAAGCCAGGGTAGGTGGCTTATGCCTGTAATCCTAGCTGCTCAGGAGGCAGAAATCTGACAATTGAGGTTCAAAACCAGTCCAGGGAGAAAAATCCATTTAACTCTTTTTTTTTTTTTTTTTGTCGGTCGTGGGGCTTGAACTCTGGGCGTGGGCACTGTCCCTCAGCTCTTCAGCTCAAGGTGAGCGCTCTACCACTTGAGCTGCAGCGCCACTTCCGGTTTTCTGGTGGTTTATTGGAGATAGGTGCCCGGGCTGACTTTGAACCGTGATCCTCAGATCTCAGCCTCCTGAGTAGCTAGGATTACAGGCGTGAGCCACCAGCACCCGCCCGGCATCCATTTAACTCTTGTCTCCACTTAACCAGCAAAAATCCAGAAGCAGAGGTGTGGTTCAAGTGGTAGATCACCAGCCTTGAGTAAAAAAGCCAAATGAGAGTAGGAGGCCTCAGGTTGAAGCCCTAGAACTGGCACCAAAAAAAAAAAAAAATCCCTAGTCCTGGAAATTAATTTGCAATAGCATTAAAAATTAGGAATATTTGAAAGTGGCACTGTGACTCAAGTGGTAGAGCGCTCACCTTGAACTGAAGAGCACAGGGACAGCGCCCAGGCTGAGTTCAAACCCTACAACTGACCAAAAAAAAAAATCAAAATTTAACTCAAAAATTGTAATATTTAGTGAAAGCACAAGGCCCTGAGTTTAAGTTTAAATACCAGCACACACAAAAAAGCAACACAGAAATTATTAAAAGTAGCAGCAAGATCTCTGAAGCGGATATGGTTTTATACAGTGAATCCACTAAACAAGGCTCAGGAAGATGTATGGTTTACGGACAAAGGGATACACACTCCACATGTCACAACCAGCATAACCAGATGGTCTTTCCTGGGAAGAAAGGTCAGAGAGCCAGCTACTTGAGACCTGAAGCCCTCAGAAAGCAAGGCTACACTCTGTTGGGGCAATAGGCACAGAGGTGCAGCAGAGAGAAGAGACAGAAAACAGGGCCAAGGATTGACAAGGAACCAGGGCATGACTGAAGAGACAGGGCCAAAGAGAAGCTCTGCCTGAGTGTGGGCCAGTGAGTTGAAGGCAAATGGCTCCTTAAAGTCACAGCATTTATCCCAAGCCTTGAGGATCCTGAACTTTCCTGTCTCTTATTATTTTCTTTTTTTTGGTCAGTTGTGGGGCTTGAACTCTGGGCCTAGGCACTGTCTCTGAGCTCTTCAGCTCATGGCGAGAGCTCTACCGCTTGAGCCACAGCGCCACTTACAGTATTCTAGTGGTTTATTGGAGATAAGAGTCTCATGGATGTTCCTGTCCGGGCTGGCTTTGAACCACAATCCTCAGATCTCAGCCTCCTGAGTAGCTAGGTAACAGGCGTTAGCCACTGGCACCCGGTTAACTTTCCTGTATTTTTAGCTAGCAACCGCTTGGTTAAACAAATCTAGGATGAAGTTGAAACTGTGGCTCTTTCCTTACAACTCTCTCAGCACCACAAGGAAACTATAATGAGAATTAGGACTGGCTTTAGAAGGACCAAAGCCTGGATTGGAAACATGGCTCAAGTGGTAGAATATCTGCTTAGCAAGGCCTATGCTCAATCTTCCAGACATGCTGAAACCACCTGGCTTAGAGGACAATGTGCTGCTCTGAGCATAAATAAACCCAACTCCTAAGCTTACCAGACCAAAGTGAAGAGGCCTTTCTCTAGCTGGTGGGTTCCCAGATCATTTGACCTCAGGTAAACAGCTCTTCTGGGTACAAGAATGCCCATTTCTGCCAGGTACTGGTGGCTCACACCTTTAATCCTAGCTACTCAGGAGGCTGAGATATGAGGATTATGGTTCAAAACCAGCTTGGGCAGGAAAAGTCCATGAGAGTCTTATCGCAAATAAACCACTCAGAAAACCAGAAATGGCACTGTGGCTGGCTCAAGTGGTAGAGCGATTGCCTTGAGCTGAAGAGCTGAGGGATAGTGCCCAGGCCCAGAGTTCAAGCCCCTCAACCGACCAAAAAAAAAAAAAGTCCATTTCTTAGGTATCAACTCAGTAAATGCTCTGGCTCCTGACAGCAGCACTATTCCTCTCGTCTGTGAAGAGCTACAGATGAAGGGCAGCCAGTGAGGACCAATAACAATCATCCTTTCAAGTCTGGATCATATTGTGCCTAATGGCCCCACGTTTGTCCACCAGATTAGTGAGATTCAAGATCCACATCTGTGGGCCACATGAGCCACAACAGTACTCCCCCACAAATGAAGCATGCATGGTAACTGACCACAATGTGGCAAACTATTAGAAGAATACAGCACAACCCTGCTGGTTATAATGCTATAACCAGCATTACTAGCAGATGACAGAAAACTGGTAAGGAGCCTCTTCAGGGCTACTTCACCAACACGGCCTTCTTTCCCCAAAGCCAAGTCCATTACTCACATGGCCAGCACAGCCACTGTCCATTTCAATCTAAGAGAGTCCTTCAGAAAGTCTACTTGTTACTCTAGGGATCCTTTCAGAACTAGACCCACAGGTTAGTGATGTCTACTAGCCTTTTACCAATGCATCATGATCTAATCCCAATACCTGCCCCTTTAAAGTTTTCAAAACACTCCTCAGTCCTCTCTAGTATACAGCTTATATTCTTTCTCTTCTGCCTGGTTCTCACTGGGCCTCTTTAACCACTAGTCAGTTCCTAGGTCTGTTCTGAATTCATTTCCTATTACTGCTGTAATTACAGTAGAGGCCTGAAGTAATCATCTTATAGCTCTGGAGTACAAGTTCTAGACTCAAGGTGTGGGCAAAACTGTGTTCTTTTCCAAGCTATGACAGAATTGAATTTCTTTGGCTTACAGTTTTCTCACTAATGAAACAGGGCCAGGGATGTGAATATCTCCAGTAGCATGAGAGAAATCTATGGTTCTAAGTCCTTTCCAGTAAAAGGTTCTGCAGCTATGCAGGGATACTACCACCACCACCCCACCATCATATCCCCCCACTTCATAGTGGGTGGGACACTCCACTTCACCATTTGAGCCCTGAAGACAACAGTGTGAGCACTCATCCCTCTTTAGGTGGGCCTGGTGTGAAAATGGAGATATGTCTGCAAGTGAGACATACCTCTCTCACTATAAGACCAGAGACATGGGCTGGGAAGGTGGCTCAGTGGAAATGTGCTTGCCTTGCATGCCTGAGGCCCTGGGTTCGATTCCTCAGCACCACATAAGCAGAAAAAAACAGAATTGGCGCTGTGGCTCAAGTGGTAGAGTGCTAGCCTTCAGCTGAAGAGCTGAAGGACAGTGCCCAGGCCCAGAGTTCAAGCCCCACAACCAAAAAAAAAAAAAAAAAAGACCAGAGACAGCTGCCTCCAGGGGCAGCAGGACATGAGGGCCAGAACAAGTCAGGCAGATACTATTGTCTGGGTCAGCTGGCTCTGATTCAGAAGGATAGCTGGGACTGCACAATGGAGACAACACCCCGACAGATTGCCACCCAACTCACATTCTTTCCTCTCCAAAGAGATTAGGCCTTGTCATTCCCAAAGAGAACTGATAGGTAGGCGACAAAACACCTACACAGAGAAGCCTATCCCCTGCCACATCAGGCACAGATGCTAATGATGCAAGGAGAAGCCACGCTACGCTACGTATGGGCCAGGAGGCAGGAGGCCACAGAGCCTAGATCAGATGCTCCAGCACCACCCACTTCCTCTGCATCATCATTCAGATGGGAAGATCCAGCATAGAAGTGCACAGGGTGGCTGAGGAAATGGCTCATCATCTTGGCATTCCCAGACACCACCCCTAGTTACAAGTGACCCAGAAGTAGGAGACTCCCTGTGGGAGTGCTGGAGACTCCAACATGTTTTTGTTTTACCCGTGCCAGTCCTGGGGCTTAATTTTAGAGCCTGGGAACTATCCCTGAGCTTTTTAAGCTCAAGGCTAGTGCTCTACCACTCAAACCACAGCTCCTCTTTCAGTTTTTTGGTGGTT